CAGTGAGAAGAGAAGATTGTGCTTGGGGTTTCTTCTAGGTCTCAGAGTCTTTCTGTGGTTTCATTGGCAACAAGTTACCTCTGCCTCCACCTCTCCTAAAGCTCCTCAGACCCCAGGGCAGGGGCCTGTACTTTTGAACTGGTTTTTAAAGACATACAATCATTATCTGAAAAGGGTCTCATAAACCAACATTTATTGCTGAAAAGGTGTTTAGTAACACCTTTTAACAAATGTTAAATAATAGTGCACTTAACTTTAAGTACTTTGCATCCTCTTCTGTCTGTGTTAATATCCTTAATTGGATCCTCTAGCAGGGGATTTGGATGTAATTTATTTCAGGTGATGCCACAATTATACAATTACTTAGTTGAATTAATTAGAGCTTTAATTATATTAGTGCCCTAAAGTGGTATATCAGGGAAATAAAACACTGACTAATAATTCACCTTTGGGATGGGTGTGTGTGTGTTATTTATTTTACAGCTAAAGTGTTTTTCAAGCCATAAGGGTTAGTGAGGGCACACTAGCTCTTGTAGCCACGTTCTTACACGGAAAGCTCTATCTCTGTGTTAATTTGGGCTTTGCCCACTCAAAATGTATGTGAAGGCAAAAGTGGGAGGATTTGTTTTTTAATCGTGGTCTTTTCTTTGGCAGCTATTAGAATCAAGGTCATAGGTCCAGTCCCTCTGTGTTCTATTTAACTCTTCCTGGTCTGTAGCCCCATAGCAGCCCCTCTGACAGGTGGTCCTGGGAGGCACTGCTTTTGTCTGTATCTCCAGCCTTTACAATGTACCTGGGCCACACATGTGCCCAACAAATGCTTGTTGAGTTGAATTAGATCATTACAAAGACAACTGGTTGGAAGTGTAGCTGATACAGTATAAACCTAACACGACTATTTTTAAAATATAGTGACTCAAAATACATGCCCCAGCTAGTGAGATACTCCCAAATCTGGCTAATCACTGGAATGACCTAAGAAGCAATTTGTTAACAACCATCTCTAGGAATGGAGGCCAGGCATCTACATTTCCAAACTCCCCAAGTGAATCTTATGATTAGCCAAGTTTGGGAACTCCAGCTTAATTGTTTTTGTGTCACATTGATATACATAGCAGAAGACTGTCTTGTCAGGATAGACCCATTGCCTATTCGAAGTTACAGTAAGAGATGAATCTCATTTGTAGTCTATTAATTATACCTAAAGGATTTCCTTTGCACTAGTAGCTCATGTAGTTGGTGAAAGTGCTCACAGATGGCTGTGATGAACAATCCCCTCTGTGAAGGGGTGGACTGCTGGTGAGTCATTACATGGGCATTTTACACATGGAAGCTACCGGGTCCCTTGGTATGCAAAGCCTGTGAGCCCACCTTTGCAGAGAGAGCAGACTTAACTATTAATTGCAAATAAAATAGTCATGGGGTGAGAGAATAAATTCTTTGGGGATTTGAGTAACTTTCAGTGATGTCCTGCTGGGTGCTGTCTCATCGTTACCCTTCACTGGGGTCTAAATACGGTGTAAGCCACCTTGCAGTCAGTATTAAGTTGAGTCTAGTTGAATAAGGTTTATAGAATACCGAACAAAATCAAATGATCAGAGAAACACAGAATGTAGAACATTGTGCAACACGGCCTGGTCCTTGCAAAATAGCAGTGTCGTGGGGGAGAAAGATTAAAGTGTCACAGCAAACAAATGCAACGTGCGAACCAGGACTGATCATGGTTGGAATGAAAAAAGCTAAACAGGACATGTTGAAGTGGACCGGGGAGATGTGCACATGGGCCAGATATCATATAATGTTAGGGAATTGTTGCGAACTTGCCTAGCGGTGATGATGGAATGCTGTTATTTCAGGGGATGTTCTTATCTTCGGAGGGGCATGTCAAAACAAGGAGAAGTGTCCTGCGTTCTGTGCTGTGTCCGGGCCCTACCACCTCAGAGCCTGTTGTTAAATATTCAAGAATTGTGTGGTCCCACAACCCTTGGTAGCTTGAAACTCAATGATGGGAGTGTTCATAACACAAAATTCTGCAAATGCTACAAACAGAGCTTTTTTCCTCCCCTGGAGGGCTAATTTCCCACCATGCCGCTGCCCCCAGCTTATTTTCCAGTGGTTCGGAAAACACGCACACACAAGCTGACAGAATAAAAATGGCAAATATTAAGCACAGTTGGACCGAGGAAGAAGATATTCATTGTTCTAGTTTAGGAGCCAGCAGACTTTTTCTGTAAAAGCCCAAGTGTAAATATTTGAGGATCTGCAGCCATGCAGCCTCTGCAGCAGCTGCTCACTCTGCAGCTCTGCCGTTGGAACACAAAAGCCGCCCGACAGGGTGCGCCCCTGCAGAACTGTATAAGAGCGGGTGCCACGTTTGGCCCCGGGGTCATAGTTTGCCAACTCCTGTGCTGGTCTTTCAACTATTATGTACTTTAAAAATGCATAATAATAATTGTTAATTTTTTAGATAAAGTTTATATTTCTTAGCCTCATTCCCCCCCCCCTTCTTGACCCCCACCCCCCACCCCCCAGCGCCTCCTCCTGCAGCTCCGTCACGGCTGTCTTTATTCCCTGGACACTGCAGTCTGCTCATCTTTGTGTCATTGCTCGAGCTCTTCTCCTTAAAATTCCCTTGGTAACGCTTGCCCCTTGTTTATCAACATCCTTAAGACATGCTTCAAAACCTACTTACCCTGTAAGGCCTTTGTGACTCTCTTCTAATTAAACTTGATTCCTCATTTTTCTAATTACCCGTAGTCCTACATTTATACTTTGGTGTTGCTGCTTTTCACAATATACCCTTCATTAGTACCTGATCCATAAAGCAGAGAAGGATCATTGTACTCTTTACACATACTAGGTGCTCAACTAATATTTGTGAATTGAAATCTAGCCATACAGATATCCACATGCCTGCAGGTACAAACCTAAAAGTCTAGAATAATGTTTTTGGCCTGTCCAATTTAGATTTGGAGTAATTAAAGATAATGAAAATATGGGGCATGTTTTTTAAGCATTTTTAAGGCTGGTCTGATTCAAGTCCAGCTGTCTTTGAGGTTGTTGCACATCAAGCTAAAATACACTTGATCTTGGTGGGTGGAGGGGCTGTCTTGGCAGTGGCTAAGGGCTTGAGGAGGAGAAGAAGAGAGTGCTCCGACAGCTGTAGTGTTTCAGCACCACCGAGCACTCTGCTGTCCACAGAGTCCTCCCGACAGTCCACAAGGGGCTGATAGTACTTCCATTTAGAGCACAGGGCAGTTTCATGGCTTCCCTAAGATTCCAAAGCTACAATGGGAGTTTGAATCTGACTGCCTCTGACTAGCCAGCTCCATTTTAGTGTTTTTATGAAGCATGATTAGCAAGAGACCAATGAACCCTACCTAGGCTGCAAGAGTCCCAAAGCCCACGTGCAGGGTGGAAGTGCCCATGGAGGGCTGAGGGCCTGGTGGGCTACAGTGCTGAGTGCTGTTGGACAGCGCATTGGAAAACCTGGCTTCTGGTCTCAGCTGTGCCACTCGTCTGTGATCCTGGGTGAGCCACCGAGCTTCTCTGGACCTCTGATCTGTCATCCCTTCTAATTAGAGGAACAAAACAGGTTATATCTTTTTTTTAATATTTCATGGATTATACTGTAGCTTAAAGTCTAATGAACAGATAAATGGATGAATGAAGAATTCAAATCCAACACTGTATATATAATAATGCTATACTGCAAATACACAGAGGGGGCTACAGTCGTGCCTAGGCAGGGTGGCGCGTAGCCCCTAAGGGCTGTCATCCTAGCTGAGTGCATTGCAGTCAGGTGGAATTTGGGGAGCCTGATGGCAGAGATGAAGGCGGTGTCGGAGAGACAAGCGCTCACTGCAAGTCATTTCCCCAAGTACGTGATGAAAAGGGAGACAGACGGAGTCCAGGGGCGCAGGACTGGCAGTGGGGAGACTCCCTAGGAGGTGATTGCAAAAAATAACCCAGGTGAGGAATGAGGAGAGCCTGGGCTGTGGTGATGGCGTTGGAGGTAAATTTGAGAGCTTTAAAGGAGGTAGAATGGTTTCTTGCCCGTACTGCATGTCCTGGTCAGGTCGGAGAGGCCCCCTCGGGGATCCCGGCTGAGGAGTGGCTCAGTGTGACTGGTCGATGCGCCAGAGGGGAAGCTCTGCGTGTACTTGCATGGACAGTTATATGCTGTAGCCCAGAAGTGAAGTCCATCATTCACATGGACTAGAACTTGTCACTTGGCCCCACCTAGCCTCTGGGGGCCAGAAAGTGCAGTCATGGGCAAACAACACTGGCACTGCCGTGGGGCCTCACCGCATCTGAGGGACGAAGGAGGACCCCCAGGCTCTGATGCCAGGAGCCCGGCAGACATGTGAGGTAGTCACTGAGGGGGAAGCATCAGGGCAGGGAGAGGTGGACCAACCAAATGGTTACAGACCTTTTTCAGCCCTAAAGTGTAACCACTTTGTTGGCAAGAGTTTACCTTATTCTTTACAGAAGGTCTTGTAAATTCATTCTTCCCAAATAGTCTTTCAGTTTTAAAAATATAGTATTTTTTTTTAAATGTAGTGTCTTCTTGAATTTTCTGATGGACTATTGTATCAACATACAATGTAGAAAAAAATTAGTTATTAACTAGGATGCTAATGAAGCCTTCCTCACTTAAGAATACCAGGCTGCTGACTTCAAAATGCCAGAGATGTAAATGCCCTCCACCTTCCTTACCGCCACCGCCCCCCTCGGGGCACGTTTCAAGGTACCAGAAGCGGGGAGTCTTGGGGGAGGAGGTGTAATTAAGCTGCTTGGAGCTTGCTGGGAGCAGCCGCAGGGAATGAACGTTAGTGCCTCACGGCCACTGGGGGACAATGTCCTCCTTCCCTCAAAAGACCGTGGCAGAAATGTGGGATCCATGTTGGTTGTCCCCTTCTTTGTTTTTCAGCTCCCCTCCCCAATGTAACTGTGGTACCTTAAAAACTGACTTTTATTGTGCATTTGTTTCCTAACAGTTGAGAGAAACAATCAAAGCTGGCAAAGGTGTGACTTCAGCTATTGACCTGTGTCGTTACCATGGAAACAAGGCACTGAAGGCCCTGGAGAGCTTTCCTCCCTCGGAGGCCAGATCGGCTTTAGAAAACATTGTGTTTGCTGTGACCAGATTTTCGTGACACCAAGTTAAAAAGGCACTATTGTTCTTTAGCCGGAAAAAACTGAGGAATGAGGTGATCTGGAGAGCTTTTATAATGAGATATATAAATTTGTTAATGACTTTAAAAACGTACAGATTTTTTTCTTCCTTTTATCACGTTGCTAAATGAATACTGCCTTCTTTTTGGAACTGCTACAAACAAAATAGAAGGAAAAAGGTCAAGCAGTTTTTACTTGTCACGCCAGAAGCGCACTTGAAGCTGTAGTAGCAGAAATAATTAATGAGATTCGCTCCTGTGACCTCAGCAAATGGACAGGAAATAAGTCCCTATTGATTGGACTGAGCCAGGGATGGCGCCAGGGCGGTGGCCTGTGGTTTTCCTTCTAGAGAGGACGGAGCAAGCTGGAAAGGCAGGTGTCAAGAGAAACGCCACGGATGCCAGCCAGGGAGCACTGTCAAATCAAAAACCAGTGGCCAATCTGTCACAACAGAGGGTGGTTCAGTAATTAAGAAAAAAACACGCTTTGTCTTCTTGCAACTGTGTCTCTGTCTTTATAGACACGGCATGCATATACTTTGCGCTTTGTGGTTTTTGTAAGGTTTGGGGGGAGGGGGTTGCTGGAAGAAAATGCCAAATATTTGAATTAAGAGATTAAAATGTTATCAAATGTTAAATTGGTTGTTGTCTTAAAGACAAATTTTCTTTTCAAGTATTTGTCTCAAAGGACAAAACTTGTTTTAAAAGCTGAACAAGATCATTTTTTCAAGTAAAATGCATTTATTTGTACGACTTCGGTGTAAAGAATACCTTTAATTTCTACAAGTTTCATGTTTATAATTGTTGTCCTGGGGAATTCTTTGGCAATACTGTTTTTTAAACCTCAGAATATCAGTTTTTGGTCTCCGACCACAGGCACCAGCTACAAAAGGAGCACCGGCAGCCCCGCAGCCGGCAGTCGGGCACCGTCCCCGTGTGGTGCGGTGGGCCGGCTTCTGCGGTTTGCACGCCTGCAATCTGAGAGCTCCGTCGACAAGAAGGCTGAGTTTACATAAATGATCTAGATCGAGACTTAGCTACCTTTCTTCCTCAAGTGGTGTAATTACAGCCCTATCTGGAGACAGCGGACACAGCAAACAGATTTTATTACCTTGTTCACTCAAACACCAAGTGAAGTTATTTTAGTTAAATTCCTCCCCGCCCCAAAAGTTACAAAACCATTTTATCAGGCCCAGCATGAGGCATGCAATGAAGAGAAATTTAAAGCTACAGAGATTGATGCATTGTATTATGAAATATTTTTAAGTATACTCGAAATATTCTAATTGTACAGTGTATGCTACTACAATTTGAAGGCCTATAAATTTAGCTGAAGAGAACATTCTTCTGTTTGAAATGTCTTTTCGCACAGAAATTGGCTTAATTAGTAACTGTGCTTAGATCAGAATAGGTTTTAATCATTAACTTCCACAAAGGAGGAGTCATTCCTCGTGTAGTGTAGTTTTGTTAGCCGGTAGCCAGCAACTGCAGGACCCAAGGCCAGATCCCCAGGCTCTTCTGGTTCTGGGTCAGTAGCGGGTTTGCTGTGTTGCCTTAAGCAAGTTGCTTCCTTCTGACCCTCCATTTCCTCACCTGTGAAATAAGGTTAAACGACAATGTGTGGAGCCCCTTCCAGCTTTGTCTTGTTTTCTAAAAGTTCACCATTTCTGACTGTCTAGATAACAAAGATGCTGCTGCGTGAGACTCAAGGACAAGGAAGGTGACACCCAAAGAGAGGCTCTGAGGAACACACAGACCTTAGTGACAGGCCTCTTGCTAAGCTGCCCCACAGGTGACCTGAAGAGTTCCCGGCTCACCTCTGTGTGACGTGCAGCCCTGGACTCCTGTTTCTTTTCTTTTCTTTTTTTTTACAACTCATCTGGCTTTTTTTTTTTCTTTATTGGGGGCGGGGGTCCATTACTGTTTAGTCCCTTGTACCTTCCTTCTCCCTAAAATCACCACACAGTTGTCCATGTCCACAAGTCCTTTTCCTCCTGTTTCAACACGCACCTTGCGGCTTTCTTTGGGACCTTTCCTGCCGCCCTCACTGAGTGACAGAGCTCTGCCCTTCCCACAGGGCACACTGCCTGTCTTTTCAGGTCTTACTTAGCAGAGTTCCCGCTCCCTCGGCACCTTGGCATGCACTTGTTAACCCTGACACATCGTATAGTTCACTCGGGTGTGTCCATCCTTCCGCCGTCTCTGCGCCACACTGGAAGAAGCAGAGTTGTCTGGGCCACACGTTAAATACACTGCAACACGTAGTCTCAAAAAAAATCTCACAATGCTCTAAGTAAATTTACGATTTTGTGTTGGGCAGCAATCAGCCATTCTGGGCTACTTTAGAGTCTAAAGTATTATATTAAATACTGATAGCCTTTCTCCTTGACCCTTCTTTAGGGATATTTATCTGTTAACCCATATTAAATTATTGTAATTTCAGACAATCTCTAGGGAGAAATTGGGGGCACCAAGTCATGCTTAATCACACTTGCTGAGGCCCACTGCCTGCGTACACCCAAGGAATTGGTAGTTACTGGCCTCAGAATGTCTCCTCCTTCACCCCCTCTCTGTCATTGCTCCCATGTCCTGTTTCTTACTGGAGGGAAGAGTTCAGTTACTAACAGTAGTGTGCCTCATTCTGTCGGGTCCCCCCAAGCTTGCAAGTTGGCTTCTCTAGACCTCACTCAGCTCAGCTCCCTGAACCTGCCTGCACACGACTCCCGGTCAGTTATGTATAATAAAGACTGCGTTAGCAAAGGCTCTGTGTTAAGGGCCTTCACTGTTCCACCTTGTTTGAATCCCATAACCACTCTCTGGGGTAAATACTGTCAGCCCCCATTTACAGAGAGGACCACCTCTGACCCACTGACTCACCCTCACGCCCCACCTCTCCGCCTGACAGTCTTTCCAGAGAGTACCCCTGTCTCTCCCTTCACTGCTCTTTCCAAATAAGTCTTTTTTCTCCTTTCCATAAATCTCGAGCCTGTGGTCTCCCATCTCCTTGAGTCCTCCGTGTTTCCTCTGCTGGCCCTGAGTGTGCTCGGTTCTCCCTGTCCCTAAAATAAAACTCCCCCCTTCCACCTCCTTCCACCTCCACTCTTTCCTCCCAGCTTCACCAGCGCTCCTTCTTACCTCTACGGACTCCTTAGTCCTAGCAATTGGTCCTTCATTCCAGGTCCCCACCATCTAGACCAGTGGCAACACTACATGCTCCAAGAATACTTGTTAGACAAATCAGGTGTCTCTCACTGCACAGCTCCCGGAGACACTGCGCAGATGAAGGCCCGACTGTGAAGCTCTCCCAAGACACAGCCCTGCAGGCTGACTCCCCACAGCATCTCCTGCAGCTGACCGAAACTCCCTGCTTGGCGCCTGGGCCCACCGGGGCTCTGACGCTTCCCTCTTCTCCGACTCCCCTTCCTGTTCCCACCCCTAGGGACAGCCTTTTCTCAACGTTTAAATTCCCTTTCCTTAGGAACTACAACAGTTCTCTGCCCCACTCAGTCCTCATACTTTAAATTCCCCAACTTAGAAAAAACATTTCTGGCATAAAAAAACAATATCAATTAGATATTGATGAGATAGCCATTTGCCGTTCAGGGTTGGTTAATGTAGTTTGAAAGAAGACAAGGGTTATGTTTATCATTAAGCTGTTTTGTAAGTTTTACTTGATGATAACACTAAATTGTTTTCACAGTGTTCTTGCTCGTATAATGTGGTTCTCTTAGTCACCTATAAAAATAAAGCACCAGTGACCTATTCGCCTGGACCAGGTCTCATTCTCCAGGGTTCAAGACTTTATCCTTTTTCTTTTCTTCTTCCTGAATTTACTGGGGGTGACACTGGTTCACAAAATTATACAGGTTTCAGGTGCACAGTTCCACAGCACATCATCTGTGCACCGCATTGTGTGCTCACCAGCCCAAGCCTGGTCTCTGCCCATCACCGTTCATCCCCCCATACCCCCTCCTCCTCCCCCGGCCTTGGCAGTCACCAGCCACACTGCCGTCTGTGTCCAGGAGTTCCTCTCTTATTTCCTTTTTTGCTCAATCCCTCCACCACCCCCTACCCAGTCCCCCTCTTTTTTAATCTCATCTATGACAATGTTATTGCTACCCCCCGGATGTGGATGACACCTACACACTCGCGGTAAAAGACACTGAACTTGGTGACCAGAAAGTAATCTGAATAACCCATGATTACGTGATCTCCTTTCAAAATCTGACAAGTTGCTACACCATAGATCACTTTGGACAAGTGGATTTGGAGAAATTGGGTTTAATCAACAAAATTGCAGCTAAAGGATACTTTTTCTTTTTTAAAAAAAGATTAGCTAACAGCAGATCCATCACTAATAAGGAAAACCTTGCTTTTCAGAAAACCCTTTTTGATCTCCTTCCTAGAGTTCTTAGTTGCAAGAAGGTCCTTTTCTGCCTCTTCATTTGTCTCCCCACTGAAACCCTGTTGTTAAGATTGCCTTTCTGACCAATGGGAGCCCCAGGGTTTATCTTTAGCCTCGGTAATAACTGCCTCTCAATCTAGAGAAGGCAAAGCACAAAAGGGCAGAGATGGATTGGGCTGGTTTTCTAATCCATTTAACTGAGGACAGGATTGTCATTCCATTATTATTGATAGTTTCCATTATTGTTAATCATGTTTTAGTAATAATAAAGTTATTTACACTTTCTTTAAAAACACAAAGCAATCTAACAAGATAATCATTTACCTGTGTCTCTTTTCCTACTTTCAGTCCTGATCCCTTCTCAAATTAACTGTTTTATTCCTTCAGGATGGGTCCTGCCTTTCCATTAAGGAGATAACATACTTCTGAAGGTGATTGAGAAAGAGGTGTCACCCAGGGAGAGTCCAGAGGGGTCAGAACTGGTAGTGGGGTCCACCCCTCCCTTTAGCTTACCCCACCTGCCCTTGGAGTTCTGATATGTTAGGTGTTACGCTGTTGGTGAAGGGTGTCCTACCTAAGTATCTATTTCTTCCACAGAAAGAGAAAGCTTCTCTCTCTCTCTCTCTCTCTCTCTCTCTTTCTCTCTCTCTCTCTCTTTCTCTCTGAGACGCTGACTCCATCTTCACAGAAGAAGGACATTAGCTTTCTCTCCACTCAGTCAGCTGGCCTCTAAGACTAACAGTGTGCCCATCACTGTTTGTCCCATGAGCACATGAGTGGGCTCACCACTGCAAGGGCTGTTGGACTTGCTTATGCTTCACTTTTTAAACATATTGAAATCAATAACCACTTTAGAGAAATTTTGCAAAATAGAAAAACAGCGGTCATTGACAATCTTACTGCTAGCATAATCAGTATCAGCATTTCATTTGTAATTCTTCTAGCCTTTTCTGCCGTGCACCATTTTTACATGGTTGTAATTATAGTATAAATTCAACTTTGGGTCCTGCTGCTTTCCCATAACACATCATAAACATTTTCCACGGTGCTGTAGTCTTCACAACCATTATTAATAAGTAGCTTAAATTCTAAGCAAAGCATCTGAAATTTTGTTCCTGGTTGGTTTCTCTATTGTAAATGGGTCTTTGGTAAATACTTCGTAAGTCAACCTCCCAACCTGCTATAAAGAAAGCCTTTGACTTAGGAAAATAGTGCCCCTGCAGGTTCACAGCA